CATATTTTCAGTGCTCAGCACATAATTTTTGTTGGTTATATTTATACCTTGTATCTCTAACCCTGCGTAATCAGATTAATTTGGGGGTAACAAAATAGTGATCAACAGGCACGTGATACAGTCTAAGAATGGAACAGGGCTTCTTCATAAAAGAACAACGTAGCACTACTTGCTTTGAGCTGGGCAGGAATCTGGTTCATGCAAATGTGCCACACGTGGCTCCTCTTATCTGAGCAGGACCCCAAAGCGACGGGTGCGTGAAGACCCAGTGTGCAGGTCGGCTATTTTCATCCCTGCTCTCATTACGACCACAGCTGAGCCCAAAATTTCTGTTGCTAAGTGAGACACTTCTAAGTGAGTTTGGCTCCATTTTACAAACCTTTCTTGCCACAGTCGGTAACTGAACCACTGCAGTTGTTAACGTAGTAACAAAGTTGTTAACTGAATCTGGTTTTCCCACTGACTTTGCTTGTCAGAAGGTGATCACATGACCCCGGGACACAGCGACTGTCATAAATGTGAGTCAGTTGCCCAGTGTCTGAATTTTGATCAAGTGATTGTGGAAATGCTGCAAGGGTTGTAAGAGTGAAAAAACAGTCGTACGTTGCTTTTTTCAGTGGCGTTGTAACTTTGAATGGCCGCTATGTGTTGTAAGTTGAGGAGTGCTTGTACTGGTGGCAAAGAACTGTCTCCACCCCCCCTAAAACGAAGGGTATTGAGAACCCAGGTTTTCTCTTTTAACCTAGAGCAGAGGCCCCCAGCCTTTTGGGCACCAGGGATTACCGGTTCCGTGGAGAGAGGTTTTTCCACGGACTGGAGGGGGTGCGTGGTTTTATGTGCTGCCTGCATCCCATGGATGGGGCTTTGCTTGTTTGTGTGGACTGGTTGCTGGCATGCCACAGCCCGATACCGGTCCACGGACCGGGGGTTGGGGACCTCTGATCTAGAGAAAATCTCCTGCTGTTTCTTTGTGGAAGTATATCATTCCACTAGGAGGCGGGGAGGAAACATAAGCAACAGAATTATTTTGATCTCAGTAAACAGTTGCCAAGGCTTAAACTGAGCCAGGTTGAAATGGAGCCACGTCGTTTTGCTCTGTCACTACCTCTGATCGAGTGTGTCTGCCTTTTCCCAGGTACGGATTGAGGACGACGTGGTGGTGACAGCCAGGGGAATGGAATTGCTGACTTGTGTCCCTCGTACGGTTGAGGAAGTTGAAGCCTTCCTGTCCGAGGCTCAGGGCAGCACCAAATCTTTTGCTTCAGCCTCTAGCTAGGTGTGCCAACTCCCCACTTGCTCTTTGGTGCTTCTTGCAGCCTGCCTCAAGAAAAGCCCACTTGTAAAGGGAATAAGCCTTCAAAATCAAACTTAATTTTTTTTCTATGGGAAAAGATACGGGGGGAAAGGTGGTGGCACAAACGACCAAATCTGATTATGCTTGACTTGATTCTCCCTCTTGGCTCTTTGCAAGTTTGGCCCTGAGTGACGGGTGCAGCTGCCATTAAGCAGATACAAGAATCAGTGCAATAGAATCTTCTCCTTTTCTTAATAGCCAATAAAGGGCACAAGCTCTGCCAATGAAATAAATGAATAAAAAGCGTTGCTTTGAAGATCACTTTGGCCTTCCGTATCTTTTTCCAAGGTCCTCTTTTCAGTGTTCAGGTTTTGAAAGGTCTGACTATGTCTCAGTCGCCTTAAAGGTGAGAGGTGGAAAAGAGGCCCCTCCTGTCTGCTTTGGCCCAGTTTCCCACAACCCCCCCCCAGTCTCCCCCTTCCCTTGAGCCCAGGAGAAAGAGAAGCAGGCAACGTCTTGCCACTCAACTCCCAGACAAGGGCTGCCCTCAGCCTAGTGGCTCTGTTGGGTTCCTCTCAAGCGTGCAACTCCCAACATTTATTTCCTTCAGAAAACACGCCCGATTAGGGGTGGAAACCTCAGCTTCACGTTCTGCCCAGCTATCCTTGGCAACGGAGAGGCAAAACCTCACTTGAAATTCATATTCATTTTGCCTAATAGTTTGCAATTTGCATATATGCTTGGATAGTATGGTAGTCCTTGACCTATGACCAGATTTCCAGTCATAAACCATTATAGTCCTAAGTCACGGCACCAGACATTTTTTTTACGAGGTTGGTAAGTGAATCTCCACGGCTCTGTGAATAGTTTTTTTGGGGGGGCTGGAAACTAGCAAAAAAATATTGCCAATTGTGGCCACAGGGCACTGCAACTGGTTGCAAAGGTGAACTGGTTACCAAGCGCCCAAAATGTGGTCACATGACCGCAGGGCTGGCGGGTCAGAAGTGCTTAATGGGCCCTAAGGTGCCCATTTTGGGCCCATCATAATTTTGACCTACGGTTAAGGGATTTCATAAGTCAAGGACTTCCTGTAATGTTTTACTTCAAAACAGTTTCAATGCCTTATATGCTTTAACAGAATTCCCTTTTGTTATACCTTTTAAATGAGAAGCCTGCAAACAAAAATCTGAAGAATGGCCCTTTAAAAAGCAGAGAGATAAGAAAGTGTGGAACCTGTAGAACTAGAAAATGATACGAGAATAAATCACAAACAACTTAAGTATGTACCAGATTTTCAAAAATATTTACAGAACACTTGAGTAGGAAAATAAAATGCCAAGGAATTAAAATACTAATTAAAAGAACCAAATAGAATGTGAGCGTGCTTAGCAACTGTGTTGCAATAGATTTGTAAAGGGTGGAAAGATATAAATAGCTTTTTCGCTTCTATGATGTAATAGACAAATGTTTATCAGGGATAAATCTTAAAAGTGATGCTAAGAATGCAATAAGAATGGTTAATATGAAAAACCAAGCACATAAATACATTTAGAGTTAAATGAAAGCCAGAACTGCAGAAGGGGAGCAGACGAGCTAAGTTGGGATCCCCAAATTAGATGAACTTTTCTCCTGGCATGAAAGAAGAAAGTAGATATCCCACCCCAACTGAAGCTTCAAATAAAATGGAACAAGTATGTTGCAAGCATTTAAAAAAAAAAATTGAAAAAGTATTTGAAAACTTGGTATGACTGACTTTTAAGGAAATTATGGAAGCAGGTCACACAAATGGATATGGATTGCAAAATAATCTCTTACCTGTATTTTTACATTTTTAAATGTCACATTTGGTCTACAAATACAAATGACTTCTATAGTAAGAAATTTTATATATAAAACGTGAAGTTTATTGGATGAAAGAGGGATTCTGTAGGTTTTTTAAACCATTCTGCGTGCAATGGTTCTTGTATAATGTACTCAGGTATATTTTTATACCTCTCAAGGGTGATCTTCTAACCACAAAACTCCATTCCCCTTCCTATCTCTCCAAATTCAGTATTATTGGAACTGCAGCTTGTTAGCCTGAAACTATTAGGCTTCAAATACAAAATATTAGCTTTACAGAAATGTAGGTCAGCATATTGTCATAAGGCTTTTTATTAATATTTTCTACCACAATCGAGTTTTTCTAAATACATGTACAAACACAATAACTTCAAAAAAGAGGAGGTATAAAAGTCATTTTCACTAGTCCAGTCCTATGCAAACATACTATGAATGGAGAGATTGTGAAAGAAAATAAATTAACGTTTCATGAACTTCCCTGCTATTAAATATGTTTTGTTCTACTAAAATAATATATATATATATAAACCACCAGCATTTGAAGTGTCAAAAAGCCTGATGTTTGTGGCCACAGGATTGCCACAAAGCAAAAGATGTAATTTTATGGACTCTGTTGGAAATATGATTGTGTATTTTTGGTTCACTGTGGAATTAAATTTGAACCTGGGTAATAAATAACAAGGTTTTAATATATTGTTTTCCCTTCTCAAACAAGGAGTTCCTTCTGGTCAGGAATCTTCTTCTTACTTGAATCTCAAAAGCAAAGCAGTTCTGCCATGGACTGTTACAAAATTAAGACCTTGCTGAAGATGGGAGAAGGGCATGATGTGGTTCTTCTGTTGTGGCTTTTATTTATTTATTTATTCATTCGTTTTATTAAATTTATATGCCACCCATCTCACTATCGAGAGCAACTCTAGGTGACTCTTAACTACCTTTTTTTTTTCATCCTGCCTTTTATCATTTTTATAAACAAAGCAGCGAGCATACCTAATACTCCTCCCTCCTCCTCTTTTCCTCACAACAACCCTGTTAACTGAGCTGGACTTTCATGCCAGGACGGAATGAGAGTGACTGGCCCAAAGTCACCCAAGCTGCCTTTCCTGTCTAAGGCGGGACTGGAATTCACACCCTCCTGAGCCTGGTGCTTCACCATTAAGCCAAACTAGCTCTCAATTATTTTGAATGGTGTCTGTCCCCAAACCGTTGCGAGCTTTGAACGTGTGACCCTGAAGCAGAATGGATCTCGGAGCAAGAGATCACAAACACACCCAAACACAGAGCCATAGAGTTAGGCTCATTTATGCCTTGGTGGGAACCCTGCTACAGTAGCATGGTCAACTAACAAGCTTGATTGACGCTGCATGAATCCATCCAGTGAGAGTCTTGAACCTGCATGCAGGCACCAGTTTACATCCACACTCTAGGCAACTCACTTAGAGATTGCTAGAGAAGCAGCAGCAGTAGCTGGGAAAATCCTCTGGCCCCCCCCCCAAAGAAACAAAATTCCTGTGCAGACACAGTGCAGCTATTTGTAGACAGTCACTACTGTTGCCCAATTCCTTTTGGCCGCAGGGGTGAAGGTGGAAGTTGCTCCCGCCTAGAACAGACCCATTTTCAGACCACAGACAAGGCAGGGCTTGAACAAGACCACAACCCTCGTGTGTTAGCCAGCCTTCCTGCCTGTCCCTTAACTAAACCATTTGTTAGGCACCGCTACTGAGCAAACCTCAACTACAGGAGTTGTACACAGCAAATACTTGGGCTACATACTTGAAAATCCCAACCTAAATAAGTCATGCATTACCAAAAATAAGTGGAAAAGGAAAATTTTTAAAGCTTATTTAATCAACTCTTCAACCGATTATCAGTATGTGGATATTTATTTGTTACCCTGCTGAAAAAAAAAGCTGTCAACCGAACAACTAATTTAAGGCTTTCAACCGTTTTATAAAGATAATTTGAAGCATGTAAATTTGCACATGAATATCTGAGGATTCTTCACACTTTCTTTGATCCATGCTTGCCTTGCAGAATCTCTTCCTGGGCAAGATAAACTGGAGACTGAGAAGAATGTCTGTAAATTCTTACCTTAAAACAGTTTATATTTTGAAAAAAAAATATATTGCCCAATCATCATGCCCAGAAAAGATTTAAATGTTAATAAATGATGCAGTCCTAATTTTAGTGACAGTAATTTGAGGATGTTTCCCTATTTCTTTCATTTATTAAAAAAAAACCGACAAGAAAATACATTAACAAGTTAAAACAAATACTTAACATAAATGTTCAATTTCCTGGCATCAAACAGAGTGATAAGTCTACTGAAAAACGATGTCAAAAATGATAGATGATACAAAGTTTAAAGCAGATTCGTTTCCATTCTATTATCCAAGGGGTAGAGGAAAGTTCGCAGTTTATCTACTGTCCAGATCCATCTGAATGTGTTGCAGAGTTTTCTGTGCCCAGAGGTTGCACACTGTCTGTGAAGTTGTGAGCGTGCTCAAGAAACAAATCTTTCAGTACACTCAGCTCCTTCGTAAGGAGCTTGATTTTGGCCTCCAAGCGTTCATTTTCTTCTTTTAGCTGGTTTACCCTCTGGAGGGTATCCTGGGCTTTCTGCTTACTTTTCAAGCGGCTCTTTTTCACTGCCATGTTATTCCGTTCCCTGCGCTGGCGGTATTCATCACTGCTTCTGTCAACAATGGAATTCTTTTTGCCCTGCTTACTAGGAGGGGTAGCTTTGCCCCCACCTCCGGGACTCACAGGTACCAGCTGAGGAACTTGTTGCAACCCACTTGTGTGCGCTGGGGTATAGATGACACTTACTCCATTGGTTTCTGCAGCTGAGTTCTGTTGTGATGTCTTGCTCATTTGGACAAGCTCTTCTGTAGACCCAGCGTGATGGATGAGAAAAGAAGTTCTGGAATTTCAAGATATGCCTGGAGCGGCTTTCCACAGACTCTCACGCTAAATCTAGAAAGAGAGAAAGATACAGTTTTGTTTTTCTTTTTCTCAAAATGTATAAAGTGACATCCCCTCAATATGGTTTTTCATCAACGTCTACAGTGGATGCCTATCCAGGCAAATGTCACAGGTGTTTCTTGCAGCAGGTATATTGTTTACATTTCCCAGCCACCATATTTGGATTGTAATTCATTCACAGTTGTACCAACCATATCTTAAATTATATGCTGTCAGATATAAGATGAACATTTTGCCCAAATGAGGGCCTACCATTCATTATGTTAGTATACGTGTGATATTGGTGAAATCAACATTAGCTTAAACTGTGACTCAATCATGGGTTGAATACCAACATAAGACAAATACCAACATCCATTCCAATACAAAATTATTACCACTCATGCTAGGCTACTACCTTTAGATTTAAAGGCAAAGCTTTATGTTAATACTGACTGCACAGGATTAGATGGCAGCACAGCAAATGAAATGTCGGGTGAAAATTTTCATGCTCTGTTGCTTCTAACGGTTAGCAAAATTATGGCAATTCAAACAAGTTTTCGGCCTGAGTGTTTTCTTTTGTTTAAGCATTATTCCAATTTTCTCTGTTCTTGATAGAAACTACTTAGCTTCTAAATGTTATACAAAAACTGGATATAATTAAAGTTGTTGGATATAAGAATGATAATGTGAGTTAGAAATAGGTTTTTAGATCCTCTGTGAGATGGGGCATCTCAGATCCTCCAGATCTAGATTACATTCAATGTTTATTTGCCACACCATAAAAAAAGATTACACAAGCTTTTAATCCTATTCTGTCAGGTTCTTCCTTCTTACAAAATGGGATGCAAGTGGAATGAGTGCCACACTAAAACAGAGATACGGCAGGGGCCCAGGAATGCTGCTCTTAGATCTCATCTATCTCCCCTATGCCAATGCCGTTTGGAATTCATTTTTAAAATATTATGCACAATCAAAAGTCCCAATACTGTTATTGCACTATTGCTCAAAAAAAGACTGTATCCCCTCCAAATGGACAAACTTCAGAAATGTTAAGATCTGGCTTGAATTACATAAGCTGTTAGCAACAGAGCTTCAGAGGGTCATCTTTACTCACAACAAGGTTTCTGAAGTGAACAAATTGGTATTGAGTGTGATATTTGTCTATGAATGCACACAAGAGGCAAGCAGATTCAAAAACCATATGCAAAGCATTTTTTCTGCATTCTATCTTAGGTTGCTTACATTTTTTCAGTGGCATTATATTTTGACAGCTATACAGTGAATATGATTTTCCTATTGAAAACTGCAATTTTATATCCAGGAAATATGTAAATGCTCTAGTTACAAGCAGTCGTGTTAGCTGCTTGATCGCATTCCTGCTTCCCTCTCAGCAACGTGCCGGGCAGGATGCTTTCAGCTATCACAAAGGGATCCCTAGTGGATAAACGTCTAGCCAGGGCCTGAACTGTTTCCAATTTCACAACCTTCCCTTGGCAACTGTGCTTACTGTTTAACTTCTGCTCTATTTTGAAGATCTTTACCAAATTCTTTCCAACTGGAATGTATTGTTGGAACCAGTGTGGCGGGGGGGGGGGGGAGCAAGAACAAGGCTATTTGGCCATCTAAAATTTGAATGTGAAGAATTTTGCACACACACCCCTTGGAGGGTGGTCAGAAACAAAAGGCCAAGTTGGTCCTTGGGTGGCTGCAATAGAACAAAGTGAAGGTTCTGGAGTGGCCATCACAATCTTCTGACTTCAGCATCATTGAGCCACTTTGGGAGATCTTACACCTGCAGGCCGTGCCAGACAGTCAAAGAATCTATAGGACACGGAGGCTTTTTGCCAAGAAGTAGGGAAGCTTTTAATTCAGTGTCTATCAGCTTTGCCAACTTAACAAAACTAAAATGCAATGTTTCCCAAACAGATTTGGGACAAGCACTATATGTAAGATACCCCAAACTGCTTCTGGCTTGGAGGATTTACTTCTTAAAACTGCCAAATTGTCCCTAGAATGACATATTTTAGTGAGGGAATGGAATGTTCTGAAGTTGGGGAGTTGTGCCCCAAGTCCATATGGAAATCCACATGCAAGGCTATCCTCCTGTTCCTACCAAACACAAAGCAAGCAGTGATAAAAGCTATCTGCATTGTTTCCTGTTGAAAGAAACAACGTACAGCACAAAAACACACGAATATCCAAAGATACATCATACCCCCAAAGTCTTATCCTACATGAGATCATTTCCCTTTCAGCTCCTAAAAACATATTAAAAGGTTTAGGATGATGCAATGTTGCCATCAATTTGTGCAGTTAATTTTAAAAAGTTTGTTTTTTACCTCATTTGAAGCTTATCAAACAGCTTACAGACTTCACCTTTCTGTCCTTCACTGAAAAAAGGTGGGAAATCTTATCTCTATGATTTGCTATTAAATTTCATCAGCACAATCTGAGGAAATTGTAAGAAAATATTGGGGTTACATTTCCATCTTTGCCTTACATGGCAAAGACCTTATTATGGTAAAGAGGTAGCTATTGTGTCTGCACATATTTCCAGCTGAGGACCACTACCTGGAGAATAGTCTGACCCCTGAGAATATACAAGGCAACAGCCTTCATTATAATCAGTGACACCAATACCCTTCCCCTAGGTTTTTTTAAATTACTAATTTTAAAATTACACAATGAAAAACAGGTAATACTTAATCATAGGGAATAGATTTAAAACACTGCATCACAGTCTGCCACAACGGTTTCTGAAAGTATTGGTTAGATCTTAAGATCTAAAAGGGTAATTGGAATTTTTTTCCCAAAATCTATTAAAACATTTAAAATAAGTTTCCAAATTGAACTCAACTCCTGGGACTTCATGAGCACATTTCCTTGGCAACAGCACAGAAGTGGTTTGTTATCACTGCCTTCCTTCTGGGATGCTGACTTCTCAGTCTAGTCTACCACCTCGGGATTCCCATGGCCTCCCATTCAAACGCTGGGCAGGCCTGACCTTGCTTAGCATCTGAGCTTGCAATATTTTACAAACCATAATATTGTAACCATCCTGAGTTACTGTAAGACATGTTAAGACAGAATGCTTCCAGAATGCTTCCGTTGGAAAGGGCATTAAGGCTAATCTTTTTAGTGCAGAAATCCAAATTACAATATCCCAGATAGAAGCTGTCTCTTGGAACACATGCTACTGCTTTTTGAGACAATCTGTTCATACCACAAAGCTTAAACTGAGGAATTGCAATACACAGGCAGCAGCTTAAATTCCAATGTGTCTTTACTCTGAATACTTTGACTGCTGGTATTTCCAATACAAGCCACAGCACTGAAGTTCTTTAGAACTTCTTCAGTAGTCATCAATATAGTTATACTCCTTAACATACATATCCCTTGCAGAATTTGTAAGAGTTTAGACATAAACATGAGCAATCAGATAAAGCGCAATAAAGGAAATAAAATAATCCTATTTAAAGGTTTCCATGCTCTTAGCTTTTAATACTATGCATTGCCCCTTCTAGCATCAATGATGGCTTGCAATCTTTCATGACAGTGGTGACTAAGGCTTTTTTCCCCTCACATGATAAAAAGTTTCCCTACTTCTTGGCAAAAAGCCTCCGTGTCCTATAGATTCTTTGGCTGTCTGGCATGGCCTGCAGATGTAAGATCTCCCAAAGTGGCTCAGTGATGCTGAAGTCAGAAGATTGTGATGGCCACTCCAGAACCTTCACTTTGTTCTATTGCAGCCACCCAAGGACCAACTTGGCCTTTTGTTTCTGACCATGTTGGAAAGCCCAAGTGCCCCCCAGGTCCAAGGCCGATGAATGCAAATTTTCCTCCTGAACTTTATGCTAATATGCTGAATGTGCTTGATTTTTCTTAGCATCCCAAACCATTTTCCTGGCAATTGTGTCTGACATCCTTCTTGTCTACCTGACTAGGACCTGGTATTAATAGAACCCTACTTTTCCACTTTCTGATCAGCATTTGAACAGTACTTATTGGCATTTTCAAATATTTGGATATATTTTTATCTCCTTGCTCCTGATTTACAAAGTTGAACTACTCTTCCTCGCAGATCCTTTGACGGTTCTTTCAGTTTTGCTATGCTTCAGTAACCAGCAAAGTCAGTGCAGCCCTGGGTGAAATGCAGAAGAGCTAAGAAACTCTGGCTATTTACACACAGACACCAATTACAAACAAGGCACAGGCACGGGACCCACCCTTCCCTGACATCTCAAACTGTGTGTGCACCTGAATTATCAGTCCAACCTTCTATGATATGTAAACGTTTGAACGGGCCGGTTTTATTACTGCCTTTGTTACCACGGTTTAGTGATTGTGTTATTTTACGACTCCCAACATTTGATTTGAAGCATGGAAATGTAGAGCCGGAAGGGATCTTGGAGGTCTTTTAATCCAACTCTTTGCCCAAGTCCTTATTGCATCCTGGAGAAATGTTTATCCAATCTATTCTTGAAAACCTCCAACGAGCGTATTGCAGGCACAAAAAAAAGAAAGAAAAAAAACCCTGCTGATCACTCATGTTTACTTACGAAATGATCCACACCTTACAAACTCTGCCAGTGGTGTGTAAACTTAGCAGCACAGCGGTCTATCCTGAACGCTCTTCCCTTTTTTCCCCGCTGGAAGCGGCCAGCCTTAAGGACCGCTTCCTGAACCGTTTCCCTTCCAAGCCCCAAATCTAACCAACGCCGCGCTCCAAACCTCCTCCGACGACCGGCCCGGAGGAACCGAGGCGGGGATTCCAGGCCAGGCCCGCCTGATGCAGGCAGAAAGCCCCCCCACCCTTTCCGGCGCAGGGAGGCCGCGACGCCGGCCGGGACTTTCCCCGCCCGCCAAGCATGACTTCATCCCGGCAGGGACCGGCCGCGTTGCTCCCAGGTTGCATCATCCCGCCAGGCGCACGCGCATGCGCACTCGCGCTTCCCTACCTGTCGGGACGCGCCGGGACCCCTCCGGCCGAGGGGGGGAGGGGGCGCGGCCGTGGCAACAGCCCCGCCGCCCACCAAAGGGGAGCGCGCGAGGAGGCCGCGGGGGGGGGAGGCGGAGTCCGAGGGGAGCCGGACCTCAGCGGCAATTGGTCCGGAGGGGGAGTTGGCCTCAGAGCCCTAGGCCGGCTTCCCACGCGCGGGGGAACGGACGGGTAGGCCCAGCCCGGGTTCTCGCCCCCGAAATCCTTCGGCCGGGTGCCGCCGGACGCCCGCCGAAGCCTTTGCCAGCGGCGGAGAGGACGCGGCGAGCCACCTACCTGGCCCGGGAGGAAGGCGCGAGCCCCACCAGACTCGGCTTGCCGCCGCCGTCCTTTCTCCGGAGAGGCGGGAGCGAGAGGTTGCGAAATGTCCGACAGCCAATCGCGAGCCGGATTACCTCAGGGCTGATGCAATCTCCCTGCCCGCTTGCAACTGGCAGGCGGCTGGCCCAATTGCAGATCAGCTGCCCAAGAATGCGCCTCCCTTACCGCCAATCGCAGAATTAGGCGGGATGACTGAGCGAGGGGGGGGCGGGGCGTCCTTTGTGCTTCCTGAGGCGAGCGGGGGGGGGGCTGTCTGAGGTGCGTTTACACAACCCGCGTAACGCGAGTCAGCAAACCCCGAATCTGTGTTCGCGCATGTCATACCTATGACCATACAGTCGTCACGTGATGGCCCAATTTACGCAACATACCAAGACTGGGTTCCCACAGGCCTCCATAGCGAAAAGGAAAGGAATCAAGCTGGCCTGTGGAAGTGACCTCAAGAGTCTGGATGAAAACACTCACTTCAAATACTTGGATATCCTCCAAGCTGACAATATTAAATCAAGAAGGGTGGTAGAATACAGTACATCAGAAATGAAGAAAACCTTAAAAGTCCAAATTCAGTGGTAGAAATACCATCAAGGCAATTAACCCCCCTGGAATAGTGAACTAGACTCAAGAAGAACGAAAAGCCTTGGATAGGAAGACCAGGAAAATAATTACAACAAATCATGCCCTTCAGCCACGCAGCAATGTTGACAGAGTCTACCTACCAAGGAAAGCAAGTGGGCAGTGAATGTTGCAACTACATCAGATAGCGGAAGAAGAAAAGGGGACATTGGAAGAATACTGAAGGAGAACAGTTAATAAATATGCACCGAATACCAGGAAGGCTTACTGAATACTGGAGAGACCAAACTGGCCTACAAGAAAGACCAAAGGAAGAATAGAAAAGAGACATAGTAAGGTTAGTATGTAAAAAAAAAAAGCAAACAAAACAGATAACAAGACCAGGCAGTGGCTAAGAGCAGAAAAATTGGAGAAAAAGACAGAGGGACTAATTATGGCTGCACGAGACCAAGCCTTAAGAACAAAATGCATACAAAACCAGAATTCAGAAGACTACAACAGATAGCAATGGCATCTCTGCAAAGAAGCTGAAGAAACAGTGGACCACCTAGTTAGCTGCTGCAAGAAGAATGTACAAACTTAGCACAAATAACACTATGACAAAGAAGTAACAACAATGTATTGGAATTTGCAAGAATTATCATTTGCCTGCAGGCAGAAACTAGTGGGACCACAAAACAAAAAAAGTAATAGGAAATGAAGAAGTTCAGGGATTTTAGAATTCAAACAGGCTAGCACCTGCCACGTAATACTCCAGACAGGACAGGGAGACAATTGTTAGTAAGAAAAAAAAAGTCTGGACAGCAGAATATAAGTAAAAAACTGGGGAAAATCACAAAATACAAAGACCTAGAAATAGAATGATTGTGGCAAAGGAAAGCAAAAGTAGTACCAATAGTGATGCATGTTTGGGTGCAATCCCAAAACATCTGGAGCCCCATTTGAACATCATCAGCACTGACAAATTCACTATCAAGCAATGGGAAAGGCAACTTTATTTGGAACAGCTTACATCCTGTGGCAATATCTGTGATACCATCAAAAAATCCACATCTGTCTTTCCCATCTCGTTGGGAAGGACTCTAGGCAGACAAAAATGCCAAACCCAGTCTGAGCATCTGACTGACTGTATGATGAACCATAGTAGAAAATAGAAATAGAACAACTGGAAAAAGAAAGCAAAGGTAGAATCAGAAATAATAGGTGCCTTGGTGCAATCCCAAAACAACTGGAGCACCTTGAACATTGGCATTGACAAATTCACCATCAGTCAATTGCAAAAAGCAGCTTTACTCGGAACAGCTTGCATCCTGAGACGATACTTTTAATACCATCAAACATTAAGATCTGCCACCAGGGTGACTAAGTCAACTCTAACATAAACAAGTCCTGTTTGAAGGCATCCAGCAAAAGTGATACCACTCGGCCCTTGGCTGCTCTGTTGAATAACTGGATCGGTTAGGAAGTTTTCTCTAATCTTCAGGGAAAATGTGCTTTCCTATAACTTACATTCATTATTGTGTCCTCCACTGAAGTGACTGTAGACAGCCACTGGTTGTCTAGTTTCTCTACTGAATTTATTATTGCAATTACAATAATTACCTTTTATTTAATCTGAAGTCTAAAACCTAGGTTAAAAGGAGATAGAGATCCTTATAAGAATTGGTTTCTTAATTCTGTCTAACCATCATGTTATTGGTGAAGCAAACAGTGGCACAATTTGCTATGCTGCTGACAAGAAAAATCGTTCTCTCTTCAGAAGAAAAATAAAAAGCTGATTTTCTCGCTGCCTGGAATATATCGTTATTGAAGTCTGACAAAAGTCTTTATAGGTAGTCCTCGACCTATGACCACAACTGAACAAAATTTCTGTTGCTAAGCAAGACATTGAGTTTTTCCCCATTTTATGACCTTTCTTGCTACAGTTGTTAAGGGAACCACAGCAGTTGATAAGTTAGTGAATATGGCTTCCTCATTGACTTTGCTTGTCAGAAAGTCGCAAAAGGGGATCACGTGACCCCAGGACACTGCGACCGTCATAAACGTGAATCAGCTGCCAATGATGTAGCACCCTCATTAAACCTGTAGCCTCCACCTGAGGTCCAGGGTGCAACCTTAGAGCCATAACATGTAGCCATTTTTTAAGTACTTGTTCAATTTCTTCTCCCCCCAGCTTCTAGTCTGACAAAGTCTTTGAAAAGCTTAATAGCCGGTTTTATGACATTTGCTTGGCCACCGTAAAGATACTGTTCAGTTGTGACTTTGGACCTATATAGTTATCTATACTTTTGACAGAACAAAATCATGCTGAGTGGTGTTATCAGTAAAGATCCCATAGGAACGGTAAGAAGAGCAGCCGATGCTTCTGATAAAAGCTCTCACGGCTGATCTTTGAAAACAGTCCAAATGCCAGGGTTGAGATTCTGCAGGTAGTTTTAACCTTTCAACAATACAAAAAGCTTCTTTTCAGAATGCTTTTATCATTCAAAATTTTTCCTTTTTTATTTTTTTAGAAACCATACAAGGCACAGGAATAGGCAACATTTCATAGTCAGTGGCAAATATATAATTTTAAGAGCTTAAGAGGAAGCCTTAACCAATTTGTTTTCATAAGTTTGTCCACCACCACTATAGCCTCCTCCCTTGGGATGCTTCTTTCCACCCCAGTTTGCACGGGACAAGTAGTTACACCTCCTGTCATTCCGATTCTCTAAGAACTACTGAAATCTAAATACCACCTTCAACAACGAAGATATTGAACTGGTGGAGCAGGGGGATGGATTAGAAGACCTCCAAGGTCCCTTCCAGCTCTGTTCTGATTGATTTTTGTTGCTCTTCTCTGCATTCTTTCTGGGGTCTCAACATCTTTTTTGTATCGTGGCGACGAGGACTGTATGCAATATTCCAAGTGTAGCCTCACCAGTGCAGTATGGAGTGGTGCTATCATTTCTCGTGATTTTGAAGCCCCCTAAGATTGTCTGAAATTCAGTGTGGAAGTTTTTCAATGCACGCGACAAGGTCCAGCCCACAAATGTCCAGCGATCAAAAATGTCCACCTCAAACTTTTTTCACTTCACTGTTAGACTTTCTGTTCCAGCTGCTGATGAACTGAATGCCTCCAGAGAGTATATTTGCTCTTATGTGAGAGTTTTCTCGTCAACTGACAGAGGGCACTCTTTCTGTTTCCCAAAAACACTTGGGGTACAAATGCCATACAGAAGCGGCACCGGTGTCTTGGCTCTCTGAGTTCCCAGCTTGCCAGTCTAACGGGAAGGGAGGGCGAAGCCACAAGAGACACTTCCGCAGGCAGCCCTGGACAACTGAGGGCGGCTGGTCCAGAAGCCCACAACGTGCAGGTGGCCAGAAAAAATCCAGCTGGGGTGTGCATCTCCTTGACGGAAGGGCGATGGAACACCGTGCGATCTATTTGTGAGAAACATCTTCGTGGGATTGGACTAGTCATAACTAAAAGCTGGAAATTATCATCTGGGAATTATACAATGGTGATTATATTATACTTGGGGATTTATATATTTATTCAATAGCCGATCACCTGTTAATCTTTGTGTGGTTTTTAACTCTATACATTTACTTTGCTGCTGATGATGTTGGCCATGAAGATACAGGTAGTCCCCGACTTACAAAAGTTCGTTTAGTGACCATTTGAAGTTACAACATTGCTGAAAAAAGTGCTGATGACCATTTGTCACACTTGCGACCATCCCAGCATCTCCATGGTCACGGGATCAAGATTCAGATGCTTGGCAACTGACTCATACATATGACGGTTGCAGCGTTTCCCCGGGGCACGTGATCCCCTTTCGCGACCCTCTGAGAAGCAAGTCAATGGGGAAGCCAGATTCACTTAACAACAGAACTGCAGTGATTCGCCTAACAACCGCGGCAAGAAAGGTCGTAAAATAGGGCAAAGCTCACTGAACAACTATCTCGCTTAGCAAGGGAAACATTGGGCTCACTTGTTGTGGTAAGTCGAGGACTCCCTGTAGTTTGCAATGAAATGGGGGGGGAGGAGGGAATATTTTAAAGGCTGCCTAGTCATGCGCCTCCCTCGGGCTCCGCTCAAAGGTTCCTTGGCCTCCGGGAGCCCTTTGCCAGGCTCCTTCTCTTTCTTCCAGGTGTCTGAGCCTTTTGGACGGCCCTGATCTGCCCGGGCGTTCAGGAGGGGAAAAGGTGCTTTTGGCCCCTCGCCAAGGCGCTGGGAAAGGCAGACCGTGCCAACAGCCCCCCCGCCCCGCCCCCGCCCCGCCCCCGCCCGGCTCTTGGCCCCAGGAGCGCTTGGGGGGGACGGAGGGGGGGAGGGCCCTGCTGGGGGTCGGCAGAGGAAGCTTCGACGAGGCCCGCTTGAGAACCACCCCCCGAGGGTCCCGTCCGGAAGCCGCGGGGGCCGCTCCTTCCCCGTCTTGGCGCGGTGGCGGCGCCGGGCTTTCGGAGGGCGGGCCGGGGGGCTCCGTCGGGGCGAGCGGCGCGCGGGGGGGGGGAGGGAGATCTGGGCGGAGAGGCGAGCCACGGACTGCACGCGGGGCCGGGGGGGCGTTTCTCGGCGCCTCTGCAAGCCGGGCAGGGACGGCCCCTCCCGCGCGGCGCTGTCAACGGGCCCGTCCAGGCAGCCGGGCCGGAGGCGGCGCCGGAGGTGGGGCGGGGAGGCACCGTCGGGGCCGGGGAGGAGCGGCCGCCAGGGGGCGCTGCTCGGCCGGCGGGTATAAATAGCCGGCCCGGCCCGACTCCGGCAGCCCAGAGCCAGCTGAGCCGCCCGGCCCGACGTCGAGTGCCGCCGCCGCCGCCGCCCCCGGACCCCGCCGGCCTCCGACCATGCGCGGCGGCCCGCTTTAGCGATTCGATGGAGCCGGGCAACTTCTACGAGGCGGACGCGCGCCCCCCGATGCTCAGCGCCCTCCAGGCGCACCCGCCGCAGCAGCAGCGCCCGCCGGTGGCCGCCGCGCACCTGCCCTCCGCCGCGCTCGGCCTCCCCCCGCCGGCCGGCCCCTTCGGCTACCTGGCCGCCGCGGAGCTGCCGGAGATCTGCGAGCACGAGACGTCCATCGACCTGAGCGCCTACATCGACCCGGGCGCCTTCAACGACGAGTTCCTGGCCGACCTCTTCCAGCACAGCAAGCAGCAGCAGGAGCGCGCCGCCGCCAAGGCCGGGCTGGAGTGCGCCGGGGCCGGCATGCCGGGCGGCGGGTTCCCGCCGGGCGGGGGCGCGCTCTACTGCTACGCCGAGGAGCGGCTGGGCCCGGGTCCCCCGCCGCTGCCCGGCCTGCGCCCGCTGCTCATCAAGCAGGAGCCGCACGAGGACGAGGAGGCGGCCGCCCTGGCCGCGCTCTACCCGCCGCCGCCGCCGNGGGACGCCCGCCGCCGCCGCCGCCCCGTCGGGCAAGGGCAAGAAGGCGCTGGACAAGGGCAGCAGCGAGTACCGGGTGCGGCGCGAGCGCAACAACATCGCGGTGCGCAAGAGCCGCGACAAGGCCAAGCAGCGCAACGCCGAGACGCAGCAGAAGGTGCTGGAGCTGAGCAACGACAACGAGCGGCTCCGCAAGCGCGTCGAGCAGCTGAGCCGCGAGCTGGAGACCCTCCGCGGCATCTTCCGCCAGCTGCCCGAGAGCTCGCTGGTCAAGGCCATGGGCAGCTGCCCCTGAGCGGCCGGAGGGGCCCGAGCCTGCCCTGCCCGGCCCTGCCCGCTCCCTCGGGCGTCGCGGGGCGGAGGGCCGGCTCCCCGCCAACCCCGCCGGGGCCCAGCCGTCGGGAGCGGCCGCCGCTCTTCGGGCACCCCGCCTGGCTTCCCCGCCGAGCTCCGCCGCCGCCTCCTCCTCCGGGCAGCCGCGGACAGAAGGTTTGGGGCCGCGGGAAGCGCGGAGCCCGGCGCGGCTGCGACCTTGAAGCCTGGCCGGGAGGGAGAGCCGGGGGCCGGCCGGCCCGGACTGAACCCTCCGCTTCTCCGCTCGGGATTTCGGCCGGGTCCTCCTCTTCCGCCGCCCGCCCGGCCTGTACTGTGAAAGGCGTCTCGCCTCGTTGCCGTCGTGGCGGTGATTTTTATTTGTATTTTATTGCTCGGAGCCTTGCCATCTCAGCAGCCGGGGGGGGGGGGCTGATGGTGCCCCAGGACTCTCTCCAGCCACGGGAAAAACTTGGCCACCTTTTCCTCTTTTTGTACTTTGGAGACTTGGCTTGGAATCAGGTGCAGAACTTTGAACTGAGCTTAACCTGCGTAGGATGGGCCCTTGAAGGGCTTCACGCATGTGCATTTGCAGGTGTGTGCACACACACACACACACACACACACACACACACATTTTGGGGAGAATGCTGAGCTCCTTTTCGGTGGTCCCAGTTCCTGGCCACTGTCTTGGACTCCACCTCCCAGTCAGCACTTTCAAGTTGCTCCTGCAACGGATGGACATCTTCACCTAAGTGCCAATTTTTTTAATATTCACTGTACCAGATGCCAACATTGCCTCCCTCTTCGTAAGAACTCTCTCTTTGTAAGGTATATTTTGGGGGATTAAACAAAGATGCAAGACCGTTTTTAGAAATTCTGGTTTAAAATCCCGAAATAAAATGCAAACATTCTGTCATAAACCTTTCTTTTCCTGTCTGTCGTTTGCAGATTCCCCTGTGAGCCTAAAGTTTTGCAGGAGCTTATGTGCAATCCCAAATGCCTTCTGTTGCAGTCTAAACCTAAAGTAAACCCCGTAGGACTTAGCTGGTCCGCGAAGTCAGTTTATATTATTCAGGGTGTTCACATTTATCCTTACTTGTTCTGGATAAAGTTTTATGTGCATTTGTGGACTGGTTGCTGAGAAAGGGGTTTTATAGGATAGCTAGTTCGCTTATGCAAACTGCCTTGTCCTGCCTTGTATTTTGGAAGATATGTGGGTGTGGATCTCTTCCTCCGTGACCTGGGATTGAGGCTTCACAGGTGTCCCATTGTTAACTGTTTCAGAGGGTGCCAGTCTGGCCCTCCCAAGAGAGCATCGAAGGGACCTTTTGCTAAGTTTTACTGTTCAAAAGTCAATTTTTGGTAGGCTTCTGTAATTTATTTTAAATTGTATTAACTGCTCTTTGCTTTGCTTATTCTTCTCTAGTTGTTTTCTGTGTTTTGCCAAGTGTGGCTGTTTAAAGTTCATAAGCTTAAGTTAGCTTTCTGCTTTGAAAGCTGGCTTAGGAGTACATATACCGATGCATGTATAAAATAAGTAGTTTGAGGTTGTAAGTGTCTGTGCGGAAGAGAGAACAGCTGAATTGCTGCTTAGGACCCAATTTTGATTTGATAAACATTTTAATTTGCTTCTGATGAAGTCAACAAATTGCTGTGCTTGAGGCACAAAAAGAGAGGGGAAAAGACCTTTCCAGGTGGATTTTTGGAAAACAACATTGCCCTTGTAACTTCTGTGTCTTTTCAAATTTTTAAACCTTTTAAAAAACTGCACATTATATTTAATGCTACACTTTTTGGCATGTTCCCTGCTGAGGTCCGTGCATTTTGCTTTCTGTAGAATGAGAAATTGGATCTAGGCCTGTCTCTACTCTGCTCTTCTTTATGCTGTTGTGCTTATCCAGGGTCCTTCCCTTCCTGGTGTTCTCCCAGAATCACATTCCAGCTTTTCAGCTAAAGCTTTGTATGTTTGCTGACTTGGTTCTACTTTCTTTCCTCTCCTGTATCAAAGCTAAGATTTCCTGATCATCTCCCCCACCCCATAAAAGTGGGAGCAAGGCTGGGTCCAAGGTGAAGCTTCCTTTTCCAGGCTGGTGACTTCGTTTTAACACGCTCTGCAGGGGTTGTTCTCAACCTCAACAACTTTTAAGATGCTCGGACTTCAATTCTTAGAATTCCCCAGCCAGCAAGTTTCCTTGGAATTCTGGGAGCTGAAGCCCACACTCCTGAAAGTTGCTGAGATTGAGAAACGTTGCTGTACAGCACTAATAAATTCAACAACTCCATTCAAACAGGGATGAACGAAAGTGGGAATTGACCCCCTTGTCTGGTTCACACAACATACGAACCTAATTACAGGTACAAGAGAGCTATCCTGATTCAAGCATTGGCCCATTGGCTGGGTTCATACAACGTACTGAACCACAAAGCCAGTGGACTGTGCAGTAATTGCATAACGTAGCAGCCACAAAATACCTTCTTAGCCAAGCTTAGCGCGGGTGTGGATGTCGTCCCTTCATCCTTAAGCTGAGGAAGCGAGTCCTGAATTTTTGTGTGTGCAAGAGAGACATATCAGGTTGAGACGCTGCCAGGTTTTCAAGACATCCATGCAGCCCTGCCCAGTGTGCATCATCGCAAGTTCCTTGACCCTCTGCATCCCCCCAAAAGTTGCCCATTCACACAATACACTTCACAAGAGCTGCTCCTTTAGAACATAGAATCATGGGCTGGGAGGGACCACAGAGCTCTTCTAGTCCAACCCCCTGCTCAGGGCAGGGGACCTTATTGCATCTTGGTCAAATGGTCGTCCAGCCTATTTTTGAAAACCTCCAGGGATGGAGCATCCACAACTCCAGGAAGCAAGTTGTTCCATTGATTAATTGTTCTCACCGTCAGAAAATTTCTCCTAGGTTGGAGTTCTCTTTAATGAGCTTCCATCCGTTACTTCGTGTCCTGTCCTCGGGTGTTTTGGAGAAAACGTTGATCCCTCTTTTCTGTGGCAGCCCCTCAACCACTGGAAAGCAGCTATCATGCCCCCCCCCCACCGGAATCCTTTAAGTGACGGGAAACTCCCATTTCAGGCAGGCAGCCTTGGGTGAGATGTCTGGAACTGCTGCAAGCAAAGGCACTCATTCTCCACCGAAGGGCTGAGCAACTAGACCAGGGGTAGTCAACCTTGGCTCTTTTATGACTCGTGGACTTCAATTCCCAGAATTCCTGAGCCAGCTTAGCTGGCTCAGGAATTCTGGGAGTTGAAGTCCACGAGTCATAAAAGAGCCAAGGTTGACTACCCCTGAACTAGACTCTTCTGAGAAGCCGAGAGAGAGACCAGGGCTTGGGCCAATGCTCAGCCCTCTGGATGTTCTGGACAGGGAGCCGGTCCCAGTGTGGAGACAGAGGATCCTCTCTGCCCAACTGGAGAATTTGAAAAAGAGGCTTTTCTGAAAGAAATTGGGAGCTGCAGAAGAAATTCCTCGGCTACCATTGCTTGCACTTTGGGAAATGCAGGATTCGAAAACACAGGGATGCAACCTACACAACATACAATGGGCATTTGCATGGGAGGCAAGGGACAAGTGATGTCACAAGCATTGTGACACAAGATTAAGTAATTTGCATCATGCCCATTGTATGTGTTGTACCCCTTGTGTGCTGTTGTCATAACACACATGACCTCACTATAGCTTGCACTCGCTCAGCAGCCACCTTGCTTAGCAACAAAATTCTGGTCCCACCTGTGGTTGTAAACCGAGGACCGCCTGCATAGCATTCTTTCTTTCTTTTTTTATAAATGTTTTATTAATTTTCTATTTTCACAAACAAGTGCTCCATAGACAACGTGATGACTGAGTCCATTAGTCATTCTGTGGTACATATAAGCTTCTTCCAACGAAGTCCAATATTACACCCGCCAGTACATCCTCTCTTCTTCTGCACTAAGCAAATAAAGTTCTTCTTGTTGCTAGTAAACACACAATTGCATATCAACATTTGTTACATTTTTTCTAATAATATCAATAATATCTGTGTGGCAGAGATGAGAACAAATATTCTAAATTTGGCCTGTCTTAATTTTGAACATAAATACTGACTTTCAGAACTGCATAGCATTCTTTTGTTCAAGGCAGCTAATGGTATATACAGTAAATGAAACAAACCACAAAGACTTGAAATCTCATTAAAAAAAAAACCCAGTTAAAATATTAAACCCAGCGTACGCTGGAGCTAGTTGCAAAAAAAAGGAGAAGCGTGACAAGTTGCATTCTCTTCTGAAATTTTGCCCCTTCGCATTCTCCTTGTTTCCGATTCTGTTTCCCATTTCTCTTCCTCCATCTTCATCCTCATCCTCATCGTCATCCCTGTTATAAAGCACAGATAACTGAACCTGAGAGGCAAATATAAGGGCTTAACTATGAATATTTATGCGTTTGTTTTTTTCCTTGCTGTTACAGTAGCTGAGGTGAGGATCAAGTGTATAAATACTTGGCAAGAGATGACTAAGAGAGAAGACGTGCCTCTTAGCATTTGCCAAGCGCCTGCCCCTTGCCAGACAACCACGGCCAGCCCACAACACCCAGGGTGAGAAAAAAAGGCAACACAGCCCATACAGGCACAAGCTCCACTATTTTGTCTTCCAGGCAGTCAGAAGAGACAAAAACAGCCACTTTCCCTTTTCCTTCCCTTTTCCCTCCTTTGAATGAAGCTGATGGTTCTGACTGAATCCAGTCAGAGTGGCTAGTTTATAGTCCTGAGAATTGTGCAGAGCAACCCAACTGGAGTAACACAATCACAGCAAATGGTTTAAGGCACAGGCCTGCCAGGAAGAGGTGAAGTGAATAGGAACTATGAAAGACAAGGCAAAAGGAAAATGGCTGCGTTATGCAATGGAACCCTAGAAGTTCTTCGCCAAGTCCCTGCAGCCACTTTCCTTCCTGGAATTCTTCACCAAGTCCAACATGCACCATTTCTGCCAGGCACCGCACA